ATGAGGTGCTGAAAGGAAGAGTTGTTCTTTTGTGTTTGGCTGGAATGTTCTATAAATACCTGTAAGGTCCAATTCATTCATTAATGTAAGTTTCATTTTTTTTCTCTGTTTAGTTTCCATTTCACTGACCTTTCCATTGGTGAGAGAGGTGTAATGAAGTCTCCTGCTATGAATATGCAGGGTTCGATGTGTGACTTAAGCTTTAGTTATGATTCTTTTACAAATGTGGGTGCCCTTGTGTTTGGGACCAGTACTTTTCGGTTTTGGCCGAGGTCCCTGGGATATCTTATTCTAAGGTTCTTGGTCACTTAACCAGTGCTGGGTGTGGTTCCATATGATAGAGTGACCATTAAATCAGATCCATTATTGACTGCTTACTACCATAAGCTATGTGCCACCATTGGCCTAGCATCTCTTTCATGAAGTACAACACTTAGACAAAGAGTTTGTGGATAACTTGGTGCTTATGTTTCTCTTTGCATGGCATACTAAGTACCTTTTTGTATTAAAGAAGCTGGGATGTAGGGGCAATGAGTCTATGTTGCAACCAGCTTGACATCTCTATATTCAATAAATTGTATATATGTTGTCTTTATCAATAGTGCCCTGCTGTCAGTATGTAGAGAGCAACCTATAGACTTGGCAGCATCCTGTTGTTTGGGAATTCCCAAGGGGCCCTTTGGCCAGCAGCTCAATTAAATATAACCCATTTGGGAACAATTGATGGCCAGGTAAAACACTGTCCACCCCAGTATTTAGTGATTTGATTCGGATCCCCTCCATATATGTATACAGTTTAGCACATTTCTACCGAATTCAGTTTCCATTCTACCCCTGCAATACCCACTACTTTTAGCTTTCTCTCCCTGACTTCGTTCTCACACCCCCTCTCCACTTAATCTTTTTATTCTACCCTTCCTCCAATCCATATCTATCTATTCATATTTCCTTCCCTAAAGAGATCTGTATATATGGAGATATTTTGTGGCAGGCTCTGGGAATCTTAGAACAAGTATTGAAAAACATCGGAAAGGAGAAAATAAATCTGTGAGGCCCATAATCCTATAGGCACTGAGATCTAATCTAATATGTAGAGGGAAGAAAAACAAACATTCATGACAAAAATAATGTTAAGGAGTTAGTGTAGTATATTCTGGTACTATTAAGATACTGATGAAGATGAATTCAGTTGGAAAGAAGGAAAGATACTTGATTTGGTAAATGTGGAGACTGGAGAAATATTCTGGAGCAAGTGTGAACTTAGGAAAAGAAGGAATATTTCCATATGACTTTGCTGTCAGATAAGGGAACTAGATAAAGAGACAGCCTCATTCTTTAGGGCTCCATCTCCAAAACCTGACCTGTTTGCTGCAGAGAAGACTCTTTTCATCCAATGTCCAGAAAGAAGAGGAAGATGTGCTGCTGAAACAGAAACCTAAAATAGTGGTACTCCATCCTATCCAAAATACACTCTTCCTACCAAAGCCAGTGAGAAATCTTCCAACCCCCCAAAAAGAGAAAACTAAAAGGAATACCAAGCACAATAATTGATATATATATATATATATATATATATATGTATATATATATGTATGTATGTATAAATATACATATATATTGGTATTTCATAAAGTTTGTAGTATACATATATATGCATACATATCTGCAGGCAGGCATATATAGTAGCCTATATATATATAGGCCTGTATGCACACACATATGTATATGTTTGTCTTCTGACTCAAAGAACAAGTATGCTGCCAGTACTAGTCACCATGCTGATTCTGTAGTTATTTCCTCATAGTCCTCTCGTATTGTAAAAGAAAAACCTCTCAATTGTAGTTCTTTTGTAGAAACCACTGAACAAAAGAACATTAATTTTCAGAGAGTTTGAGCTTGAAACACAGCAAATAACCTAAGTAGTTAAGACCACATTATTAAATATTTGGATTTTTTTAAAAATTCATTTTTCACTTATAAGTGAATATATACCATATGTGTCTTTCTGTTTCTGGGTTACCTCACTCGGGATGATCTCTCCTAGTTCCCACCATTTGCCTGCAAATTTAATGATTTCCTTGTATTTTTAAAATTTAAACATTTTATTATATATATTAATTACAGTTTATTCACTTTGTATCCCAGCTGTAGCCCCCTCCCTCATGCTCTCTCACCCCTACCCTTCCTCCCTCATCTCCTTCCATGCCCTTTTCGGAGTCCACTGATAGAGGAGATCCTCCTCCCTTCCATCTGACGTTAGCCTATCAGGACTGGCTGCATTGTCTTCCTCTGTGGCCTGGTAAGGCTGCTCCCCCATCAGGAGAAGGTGATCAAAGAGCCAGCCATTTCCTTGTTTTTGATTGCTGAGTAGTATCCCATTGTGTAAATGCACCACACTTTCTGTATCCATTCCTCAGTTAGGGACATCTAGGTTGTTTCCAGACTCTGGCTGTTATGAATAAAGCTGCTATGAATATAGTTGAGCAAATGTCCTTATTGAATGGTGGGACATCTTTTTGGGTATTTGCCTAGGAGTGGTAAGTCTGGATCTTGAGGTAGCACTATTCCTAATTTCCTGAGAAAGCACCAGATTGATTTCCAAAGTGGTTATACAAGGTTACACTCCCATCAGCATTGGAGGAGGCTTCCTCTTTCTCCACAACCTCTCTAGCATGCATCATCCCTTGAGTTTTTCATCTTAGCCATTCTAATAGGTGTGAGGTGGAATTTCAGGGTCATTTTGATTTGCATTTCCCAGATGATTAAATGCAAATAGGTTTTGTTGATGGGTTGTTGGTTCCCTACTTCCACTGGTCCTGACTAGAAGGTGGTCACTTTAGTCATCATGTCCCTCCCTGTTAGAAGTCTCAGTTAGAGTCACACCCATGCCCTCCCAGTATCTTACCCTGTTGCAAGCCTCCAGCCTGAGGAAGAGATGTACCCCCTCAGTTTCCCTTCTTGTTCCCAGCCCTCTCACCTCCCACCCTAGTTCACCTGATTCCCACCCTTGTTCCCTCCCCATCCATCTCCTGCTCAGTTCTCTCTCTTAATTCACTTCATCTCCCTATTCTATTTCCTCTTCTTAGTGACAATCCCACACCTTACTTTGGGCTCTCCTTGTGGTCCAAACATTACCCTGACTACAAGAAATGCAGGGAAGAAGAGGGAAGAGAGATTGAGGAAAAGTCCAACCAGTAATTGGCCCAAACTGAGACCCACCCCAGCCCCTGACACTAATAAAGATACTCTGCTATGCAGGCAGACAGGAGACTAATTTGACTGTCCTTTGGGAGGCTCCAGTCAGCAGTTGATCAAGACAGATGCTGGGACTAGCAGCCAAGCATGGGTTGGAGCTCCAGGGTCTTGGGGGAAAGATGGAAGGACCTGGAAGTGACAGAAACCTTACAAAAAGACCAACAGAGAAAACTAACCCAGTCCCATGGGCGCTTTCAGAGACTGAGACATCATCTAAGGAGCATGCATGATCTAGACCTAGGCCCCCAGAACACAGCTAGCTGATGGGTGACTCGGTCTTTATGCCTGGCCAGTGGAGGGGTTAGGGGTGGCTGTTTCTATCATGTACTTTATTGCCTGCTTTTGGAGCACTTTGCCCTGGCAGGGCTGCCTTGCCAGGCCTCAGTGGATGGAGATATGGTCAGTCTTGATGTGACTTGATATGTTGGTGAACTTGATATGGGTGGGGAGCTCCCCCTTTTTGGGGGAAAAGGAAGATGGGAAGGGGAAGGGGAGAAAGGTGGGGAATGAGAGGAGAGGAGGGAGGGACACCCATGTGATGTAGCGTAAATACAAAAAGACAATAAAAATAAATTTGTAAAGTAAATACAAAATGACAACAAAAATAAATTCAAAATATTCTAAATATATAATCATGACAAAAGGTAAAAATATAATCATTAATGCAGACATAATAACAGTGTTATCACATGGCTTCTCTTACTATGCTCTCTCCGGATTGCTTACCAGCACCGTCACAGGCTTTGATCCACCAGAAATATGCAATAAACTTGCTTTCTTTATGATTTCATATGTTAGTGGAATTCTCTTACACAGCATCAGAAAATGACTTAAGAAAGTTATCCCAATTATAAGATGAGAAAAGTAACACACCAAAAATTTAGGGAATAAGCCCAGATGTTTCCATAAGCTTGAATCAGAGCCAGAGGAATAGCCAGGAGAATGTCTGTTACTGAACCAATGCCTTTAACATCTACAAATTCTGACTTGCTGTATATTAAGTACAGCTCTGCCTTCAGAATAAGTTTTGTCTTTAAAGAAATATCCTTGAACTTTTTAACAAGTTGATCTCAAATCAATTACAGTGTTTACTCTTGTGTAACAAAGTGCATTTTAATGTCATATGACTACTTAACAAAATTTAATAAAAAGTAATAAAATCAACTCCACACACCTAATTATCATTACGTAGATTTTTTTTCTGGAATAACTACATTGAGAATAAGCAAATTTTGATGGGTGTTTTTATAAATAAATTGTTTTATTATATACTAATTAAAGCAAATCATTCTTTATTCAATTTACAATTTCTTTGCATTTGCAGGGTGGAATGGTAAGGCCGGGTTGATTATCCAGAAGCTGACTTGATTGTTTAAACTCTATCCATCTTTAATATATCATTCTTTTATCACAATTCCTCTTTACTTGTTTAAAATGCCCTCTGATCTTGCACACAGGATTGGAGTCATAATTCTCTCTGAATCTTGGTAAAATTGGTTTTGTTTTCCTGATGTTTTCTTTCTAGCCTCTATTTGGTCTAATGCTGCAAGTCCTATTTTAAGCATTTGCATTAAATTGCTTTCCCCTTATTCTGTGACCATCTGTGCAGTGCCTAGAATGATCACTCATTTCACTATACTTAATAACAAACAAAAAAATGACTTATGCTCATAAGCAAACTCAGCCTGATCCTTAATAACAACATGCACAAACAACCCAGGAGATGATTCCAGGACTCAACTCACCTGACTGGCTGTGCAGTTGGATAAACAAGTTCTATTATCAGCTGCGAGGTAGAAGTTGGTGGGACAGGCACAGGTGTGGGTCTTCCCGGGGCCTAAAAGGCACAAATGGCTGCAACCACCATTATTTACGGTACAAAGATGTTTGGAGACTACAGATGAGAAAGAGACAGCAAAACAAAATTATCAAGACCAATATTGAAGTATGGCCTATCAGACTGAACTTTCAAGTATCATAATTTATGATACTTTGGATTTGAAGTTATTAAAATTATGAATATATTTTATAAATACTATTTACTCTCTTATTTCATTAATTTTAAATGCTTTCTACAAAACCAAGCATGTTAGTTAAAAATAATTGCTCATCAAAAGTAAACAAAGACCAGAAGTATTTGGCATGAAGACATATATATGCTAAGAAATATAAATGTAAATAAAGCAATGAAACAATGAACCACATCAAAAAGCATAAAGTTTTGCCTTTTGGTACAGAAAGGCAATTAAAACTTTTTTTTTTCAATGAGATCTGGTAGAATCTTATAAAGCACATTGGATATTTGCAATCTCGGAATCCCAAACTATTAAAATAGAATTCTTCCTAGACAGCATTCTAATAACTAAGGACCCGTTAGCTCTACTATAATGAATTAGATTAAGGGTATAATTTTTCACTTCTCTGATGACATGCATTGTTTCCAACTCAGTTTAACAGGATCTGAATGGATAAATCTTTTTGCTATTATTAAGCTTCGAAACTCACCGTGCAATAGTAGCACTTGATATGAACTGGCTTCATCATACAAAATAAAGCTAAGCAATAGGATCTGATCACTCCTATCAATAATGAAATCACATTATATCTTGAAATAATGAAAACAATGAAATGTTACTGAAGATGTTGATGCATCATGGAAATCACGGATAGAATATTTACCATCAGGTTGTCTATAAGGATGATACACCTGGATGTCCGTGATGGCATGCCATGAGTTAATCAGTGAGAGTCTGTCTGCTCCCGAGGTTTTATGGACTCGGCTGAGTGACTTGGTTTTCCCATCAGTCCAGTAGAGGTAGTCTTCAAACAAGGTTAGTGCAATCACCCCTGGAATATCTTGATTAGGGACTGTAATAGGAGATGGTAAGATTAATGTTCAGTCTTGGCAGACTGCCAGTTAAAATATTCAATACTGTGTGGGCTGACAGATACTACTGCTACAAAAATTCTGAATAATTGCTATGACAACCTGTCCGGTTGGCAAGGTTCTTTATTACAGGTTAAGAGAAAGTAAGATCAGGCACCAGGGTTCACTATGCTCATATTCAGCTTGGCTTAACAACCGGGAAGAAAAATGAATGTGATCAAGCTCGGCGTCTGAGGAAGGCCACTTTAGCAGAAACAAGTAGTGTTCAATATTTTAAAATTCAAAATGTGGAGATTGTGTGTGTGTGTGTGTGTGTGTGTGTGTGTGTGTGTGTGTGTTTCACATCCCTCAACCAGTAGCTTTTTACACTCTTCCTTGAAGTTCATTGATTAGTTTTCTGCCACATAAAATGATTACATAACATTTCTAAGATGACATGCGTCTACTCTCTGAAAATAGAGTGCCATGAAACTATTGTAAGCATTTTAGTTTATTTAAGTTATTCCGGTTTTTATGATTGATTTTACCTGAAGATGATCTAAGAGTGAAGGGAAAATATTTCAGATAACAAGTTATTATGACTATGATATCATTTGGCTGCTGTTTAAAACTAGTTTGTAATGATGACTTTCATTATAAGAAAGGATCTAAATAGAAACACTGGGCGACCATCACAAATGTTGGTTTTTCATATAGGCCGTACCAGAGTCCTAGTGGCAAGTAAATGTAAAAATTTTTAGGTGCTGATTAGGTTTCTGTTTTTGTGATGAGGGATTGTTTTGTATGTGTTCGAATGCTTCAGCACCAAAAATGATGTTAATATATTTTCAGTCTCTGATTTCTGAAAATTATCAAAAAAAAAATCAAGATCAAAAGGAAATTTTCAGATATGTACAAACATTCTAATACTTTTGGCTATTAATTATTAAATGTTCTTAAGGGAAAGTTAGCTGGTGTGATTGGCACAACTCCAGAAATACTTTCTTTTTCATTTATTAGACTTTAGTGACTGAAAATGAATGTTTGACATGTTCAATAGCAACTGACAAAACACCAAAATTTCCAAATAATTTATCACTTTAAGGGAAATATAAGGCCTTGCTTTAAAGTGCAGGGTAGAATTGAGTTGGTAACAAAATGTAGACATTTTAAAACTCTGATATATAGTGTTTTAGGATAAATTAAATGGAACCCGAGAATTTACTATGATTCAATCACAAAGTAAAAGAAATCAGGTTAAACAGTTTAGTTTCAGCACTGAGGGATCTATCCAAAAATGCACCTGGACAAGATACTGTGTATATGAAGAGGGAAAAATTTAGAAACTTTACACATTTGAATCTTGATGTTAATTCCATATGTCCTTGAAACTTATCTCTCCCTGTACTCATATAGACACAGAACACGTCTCTAAATATGACGAGTACGATTGGGTAGAAGAATGAGAAGCACACAGCAATACAGAATCACATAAACAAATTACTTACACAAACTAGTTTCATCTCCCTCTGCTTCAAAAATTCAATTAAAAAAGATAAAAATTATACTGGGTGACTCATGGTGATAGACAGTAATTATGAGTGCTTGATAAGAGTATGTAAGTTGTGAAACTTTAAATAAAATAAAGCTGCAGAATATTTTGAAGTGCTTAGAAACATTCAATTTATATCTCTTCAGATTCAAAGCAACTAATTATATCATTAAATATGGGCGCAAAATTTAATCATCACTTTAAACTGCCAGTTATTGAGATTCAGTTTATTTCTGTGCAAAGATGATGCTATTGGTCAACTAGCACCAGCTAGCATTTTGAAAGTGGCATAATCCTTCCCACTACTCAGGACTGTCACTTATCGACACTGTTAAGTACAGGAGTGCTTCAGAAACTAGCCTAAACTAACATTTCTTAGCGCAACAGACATCCCTCAGTCCTACATACAAACAATATTGAGCACTGTAATACCGCAGTGGGGTACTGGTAATATTGCCAATACTCTATTGTGAAGTATTCTTTGCAATACTTGATTGGACAGAGAAGGGGTTGTCTAAATGAATGAGTAATCTCGCTGGTGTTTGAATCTGAATCACTTCCTCTGCTGCTAAGATCCAAACACTTCACCATCTCCGCACTGCGCTTGAAATGATGTTGCTGACAGAGCAAGAAAACCAAAGGTTTCGTGTCATAAGCTCAGGCTGAAAGCCTGCTTGTTTAGTAACATTTCCACACAGTGTTGTAATCATCTCCAGATGAGGGCAATTTGCTGGACAACCAATTAAGACTGACCATCATCAGAAATTTTAATTATTAAATAGTCACCATAAATTCATGTCCATCAGGGACTGTGAAATGGCTCAGCCCATAAAAGGTTCTTGCCAGTAAGCCTGACAAGCAGTGTTTGAATTTTGTGGACCCACATGTTGGAAGTGGAGACCCGTAGGGAGAGTCTACACTCACACACAGTTAATAAAAGTTAAAAATCACTTAGTTCAGCAAAGCAAATCTTATTTCCACCAGATGAAATATAGCTAAATGCACATGGAAAAGTCAGGTCATAATGAAGAAAAGGAGTCCATATTCTTAAATTGTCTTTTTGTTTTAATTTCCTATTTGACAATGCAGAACAGAATTGGCACTGTTTGCTTTGTAAACAAACTCTAGGCCTCCCATTTGTTAAATGTACTTTCTTCTCAAATACCACCAAACACTACCGTTATGTACAGAGAAAATGAAGCCAAAATTCCAACCTGTGTTTACATGGAAGAAACTGGTCTAATCTACCTGATACCACTGAACTCATCTAGCTGGCCTTCTGTGGGACCAGGACATCTCCCATAGGGCCACAAATCACAACAGAAATCAAGCAAAAATACAGGAAATAGAGATGAATTACTCCTACACCAACTATAGTGAGGATTCACCTTTTGGGTCTGGATGTCCCTAGGAAGGACCAATTAAGTGTTTATTTATACTATGATGAACATAAATAAAATGTGTTTATTTTTCCATCAACATAGAAGACTTCAAACAATATTTATTACATAAAACATATTTGAATTAATTACTTATTTCAACATAAAAAACTAGGCTGATTGTAAATGAAGAAAATACTTCATGTATTAATTTTACTTTATACATATGTATGTAGATATGTATATATGCATATACATTAAATATTAATGTGTATAAATGGAAAAATATCTTTGGCCACAGTAAACATACACATACACACATTTACACACACATCAGAATAACAAGAAATGGAACGGAAAGTGGAAGTGGACAAAAAATGGAAATGACAAACTGTCAACCGAGAATGTGAAGGTATAAAGAAACACTGAACTCTAACAAAGCAATGTGCAAGAATTTAGGGGCAAAAGTAGAAATATTTTCTCAAAATTATATATCTATCCCTTTAAACACAAATATAGCATGCATGGATGTCATATATATATATATATATGTATATATATATATATATATATATATATAGAGAGAGAGAGAGAGAGAGAGAGAGAGAGAGAACTTTATGGCTTAATAAAAATATATAATCAGAGAAGTAAATTTAAGGAATCTTTTATTTGCAGGTATTCAACAACCACAGAAAAAGACAGAAAAATAGAAATGACAGATGGACTGTAGCTCACTGTGTGATTAATACACGTTTAAAGGCAATTTTAAAGTGCTTACTGCAGTTAAGTTTCTATTTTGTACAGTGGCCTTGTCTGTTGAAGCGTTTCCAATATTTTGTTTCAACACTAGGCTTCTAATTCTCTTTTCATTGGCTGTATCTTTCAGAAAAATATAATTGATATTTGGCAAAAAATTATCAAAATAATGCTCACTTTGTAGTTTTCTCTGTCAGTTAATTTGAAGAATATACTGTCCTTATCCATAGTTATATTACACCGAAGAGGTAAGTGAAAAGGTGGCACCAAATTGTACTTCTGTCTTTGATGCAGCCTTGCTTCTTGGGACACTCTGTCATGATATCTTAGACTACTAAATTCTGGATAACATCCAACAGGCTAAACAAGTGTGTTTTTTAATAACAACATCCCAGTTCCATATTTGTTTTGTTTTGGTTTTGGTTTTTATTTTTATTATTAGTTATATTTTATTAACTCTATATCGCAGCTGTATCTCCCTCCCTTGTTCCCTCCCAATCCCACCCTCCCTCCCTCATCTCCTCCCTGCCCCTTTCCATGTCCACTGCTTGGGGAGGACCTCCTCCTCTTTCATCTGACCCTGTTTTATCAGGTATCTTCAGGACTGGCTGCAAAGTCCTCCTCTGTGGCCTAGCAGGACTGCTCCTCCCTTGGGTTGTGGGGAGGTCAAAGAGCCTGCCATTGAGTTCCTGTCAGATTTTTGCTTTGAGTTTGATTATAAAGAAACAAGAAGTATAAGAAAATGTTTGCTTTTGAAAAATAGTGTTATAGAAGGTACATTGGGATACTGGCATAATCAGCTTGATTTGCTGCACCGTGCCGTGTGGACATTCCACCACTGGTGTTCCGATTAGCCTCTTATTTCTCCTGTGAGATTGACTTTCTACATTCAAGTACTATTTTATTATTTATTTATTCATGTGTGTGTGTGTGTGTGTGTGTGTTATGGTGAGTGTGCCATGTGTCTTTATTGCATCTGTGTGAATGCATGAGGAGGCCACAGGACAATGTTGGTGCTTTCCATCTATTACTTTTCACTTTAGTTTTGAGACAGGTTCTCTCACTAAACTGAAGCTCATTGTTTGCCAAGGATGGTTGGGTGGAGAGCGCCAACCTCCATCTTTCCAACTGCTTAATCCTCTTGTTACTGGTACTAAGTTCGTGTTGGGGATTTTTACTCAAGTCTTACTACCTTATTATCCCTAAATTCTATTTTAAGATTTTGTTTTATACCTATATGGCAATTTGAATGAGATTCCCCCATCAGCTCATATATTTGAATGCTTGGCTTTCAGTTGGCGAACTATTTGGGAAT